AAGAGAGAGAGAGAGAGAGAGAGAGAGAGAGAGAGAGAGAGCAACTGATTGAAGTGCAAAACAATAAGAGTGCTGAATAACTTTCACATTTGGAAGACAGCTCAGCTCAAATATTCCTATAGATTTGAGACAAAAGCCATTTTTACATGCTTGGCACTTTGGGGCGCCGAGTGTGAAGGAAGTCTCTCAGAAAGGTCTGACTGAAACCTCTTTCATAGCTTCACTCAAATTGGAGAAAGGAGACAACTGGATTTTTTTTCTTTTGCGCTGCTCACCTCAATTTGTTCAGTGCAGTGTGGGGATATGTGTCAAAACAAAACGAAAACTAACAAACAAACAAAAACAAACAAACGAGGTAATACAGAGACTGAAGTTGAGGATTTGAAGTTTTTATCCCACTACAACAAATGTTTTAAAACTGACTCATTTCAACATTGTCTCACTCTTTCCAGTATTGTACTTGATGGTTTTCACCCGACTCTTTAACACTATGGGGTTGTCTCCGAATTCAACGCCCACTTGCCAAAAAGACAGAGCCTTGGAAAAGTCACCAAACAATTCAAGGTGCTTTCAGGAGAGGTAACTTGAGGACTCAAACAATGATCATCCGCCTGTCACGAATTGTGCCAATGATACGGCCATAACACTCTTCATGGTTCATACATCATGTACTTAACTTGTGTGACATTTGACATTTCGACCACTGGTCAAGCTTGCAGTCTGTCCCGTATTTTAGACTCAAAGCTCTTGTTCTATTCAGTTAAAAAGCCTAATAATAAATATAATATAGCTGTTGTGTGTGTAAGAGTAAATGAATGAAGGAATGGGTGAATGATATAATTTTTCTGTTGGCATGTTTGATAATCTGATCCCATTCTGTTTTGACCTGTCACTTATAATTACAGTAGTACTAAATTAGCCCAAGGACATTTGAATTGTGTTGAAGAAATACAGGGGAAAAAGAGTCTGTCTCTGGAAGCACGTTTCCTTTTCAGTCCACATGTACTTGTAAAAGGACTGGGTTTGTACAGTCTGCTATGAAGATCTGTGTGAAAATAATAATAGCTTGACACTGCAGAGACGGATCATGTGAATGATAGCGGAGTGCACCTAAGGGGGCAGCAGCGTTGTATATATCCTTAGGGACCGACAATGTAATTCGTTTGGAATAACTGAATTATTGTGAAATTATTTGAGCCTGAAAATTTTATCTTTTTTTCACTTCGTATGATAGGATGATAATACTTTGTGTTATTCAGTGGAGTGTATATATATATGTGTGTGTGTGTGTGTG